GTATTACTTTGAATCGAGAAAAGGGTTTGATTTTGAAAGACAGTGCCTATTGGTGAAGCTGAACCTTGAACCATTGTTGGACGAATGATATCAGGAGACTCGAAACCAACTAAAAATGTAATACACCATTGATTAGATTGAAGAGATATAGAATCGATAGCTCCAGCACAGAAAGACTGCGGACCATACTGAGCAGCTATGGGAATCCAACTGAGAATGATTTCATAGATATCTGCAACGAAAGAATGAAAGAAACAAAATAAAACACATAATATACACTAACTAGGACTTGAATGGATAATAGTACTCTTTTTCATACCAGTTGGAGCACTACTAACTAAATCAGTAATAGCATGTCCAGGACAATAAACTTGTACAATGATATATTCAGTAACATTGGAACCGATTGGTGTCCCAATACAAGCTAAAACAGAGTAGACAATTATACATGTGGAAAGAATAACGAATAAAGTTATATATAACTTACCTCGGTTTGGTCGATTACCAATGATAGCAGGTGGAGTAGTACAATTCAAAGTGGAAGATAAATTATAACCATAGAAAAGAAATTGTAGTGGAACAGAACTCATTGGTGTTGTAGATGTACTACTATAATAATCTTCAATTTGTAATGCTGCTGCGGCATACTGGTCAGCGTGGTAGAGAGTAAATACAAGTGTACAATTATCGTAAATAAGACTAGCACCAGGAATACCACTACATACGCCACTACATTCATCGTATCCGTTAGTATTACTTGATGAAGTCGACCATCGACATCGCAATGTATCGGTTCCATCAAAGTCAGACATTTGAACAACATGTACTTGTTGAATATTGACTTGTTTGTAAATAATAGGAAGAGTGACAGCAATAGGACTGGAATTTATGTAACCATCGGGTCTTAGATTAGTGTTGATTTGACAGACAACACTCCATCCACCATTGCTACCAACAGCAAGAGTTCCAAACCAATTACCTGATACAAAACCAATACTAAATGCAATATTTAATGGAAATGTTTGCGTCTCAAAATGTTCACCAGAAGTAACAGTAAGTGCAGCACTATAATCCGTACAATTTATTAGTGTATTCATAGCAGCCCAAGGAGCATATGAACCAGATACGCCATAGACGTAACCGCCAGGTGCGATACTAGTATGAGCAGCTATGGTCGAATCATCGCAGTAATAAGTAATACGATTCCATGACCATCGTTCACGCACTTGGACAGCAACTGTAGTACCGGATGGAGTATTGTTCAAAGGACGCCTATAAAATAGAATAATAAAAAAGATCTATTAGTAGAAGACTATATATATATTATGAACCATGTTATTGTACCACCACGAAAATGAGTACCATATACAATAGTACTAAAACCTGTTAACAAGATTATAAGCGATCGCATCGTCAACATCATGTATGTAGTAAAATAATGAAATCACAACAAAAAACTCATGGTTTAAATACTTTAGTTGAGACTTGTTTTTTTTATTTGCGCATTTTTAATAGAGTAGAGTAATAGAAGGAAAAGGAGTGGCACGATTTCAAAAAACAAAAATTGTATTTTGATATATAAACGACTGTCTAAAATAAATACAAATATCGTTCGTTTCTATTTACTTGTGAAGACTATGATAATAAATTTTTAAAAACATTTTTTCCGTTAGTGGATTTACGTCAAAGAAACAGAACTAATACATAGATTATATATTTTCGCGTGTTTTAAATAACAAACAAAGAGAATTTTTCGTTTATTCCTTTTCGAAATCTTTCCTAGTTACATATTGAAATGATTATATTCATCTACTTGTAAGAATTTTCTTTTGATAACACATTCTATTCTAAATGACAAGTATTTCTAATAATAGCAGATAGATTATTGTATAATTTTAATAAAGAATAAATTCAAATCTGTAGATTTGAGAATCTTAATATTGTCTCAATAAAACTGTTCGAGTAATAAAATATTTATTTTCAATATTTCTCAAAAATAAAGATTGTGTGTTTTATGTGATTTTTCTTTGCTTTACATACTCGATATGTAATAATTAATTCACTTGTATAAATCTTCAATAGTATCAACAATATATGAATTATTTGTTTTAGCTTTTATTTTCTTATTGAATTAGTTTTTCAAAAAGATTTAGTTAAATATTTTTGATAACTCATTCATGTCATTATATTGATATAGGAGCTATTTTAAATAAATAAATGAAGAGAAGCTTATCAACTATCATCTCTCATAAAGTGAAACTAAAAAAAATCAGCATGAAATACTAGACACAATCGTGGTATATTTGTACACTTTTTTTTATTTTGATTGAAAGAAGCAAAAAAAACGGTATTGCCTATAAAAACATAAATGTTTTTCTTTTAAAATACAAAATTGCTTATCTAAATGATGTAATTGAAGATTTAAATGT